ATTTTTATTGATTTCAGAGAAGGGAGAGATAGAAACATCAATGATTAGAGAGAATCATCAATTGGTTGCCTCCTGTACCCCCATATGAGGAATAAGCCCATAACCTGGGCATGTGTCCTGACTTGGAATCAAACCCTGACTTCCTAGTTCATAGGTCAACACTCAACTACTGAGCCATACCAACAGGGCTGTATATAGTTTTTAAGTTGCATAGGTCAATAAAAATACCATGTTGCTTTACTACACTTGAAAGGATTTAGCAAAACTCATCAGTATCACTGACCTGAGGCTCTGGTTGACAATTACATTTCTAATTAATGAACACAGGAATTATTATTTTTACTTTTTAACAAATATGGCTGATTTCAAATCAGATCAACTTATTCATATCAAAGTTTTTATTCTTATCAATTTAAACACAAATAGACTCTGATCAATTTCAACTAGTTTAATCAGATTTGTGTCAAATCAGGTTTAAACTGGATCAAACCATTTTGAATGAACCTTCCCAGTTTAAACAGCTTTCCCGGCAGAAACCGGCTTGGCTCAGCGGTAGAGCGTCGGTCTGCGGACTGAAAGGTCCCAGGTTCGATTCCGGTCAAGGCCATGTACCTGGATTGCGGGCACATCTCCAGTAGGGGGTGTGCAAGAGGCAGCTGGTCAGTGTTTCTCATTGACGTTTCTAGCTATCTCTCTCCCTTCCTCTCTGTAAAAAATCAATAAAATATAATTTAAAAAAACAAACAAAAAAAAAAAAACCCAGCTTTCCCCAATATAGCAGTCTGGGTTCTGGAATCAGTAAAAATCCCTCCTGGATCACTTCTTAGCTGGTTTGTTCCTGAGCCAAGTTTATTTATCCTTTCACAATCTCTCTCTTGATCTATAAGATGAATAGTACTTCTCTCATAGGATTGTTGTAAAAAATATGCACTGTGAGGTAAGTAAAGCCATAGAACAGTAACACAGTATGTACCCAATAAATTCTAATTATTATTATATATTTATTTGAAGTCATCAAATTAAGTTCTGCCTGCCTCAAACTGGCTAGACGAGGAATAAAGATGACTTGACTGACAGTTGAGAAGGAGCTCCTTTTTCTAGTCCCTATTAAAGTCTTCCTATTAAAAGTCTCACTCCCTGCCCACTCTTGAATTCCTCATAGAATTCTTGACACTACCTTCCCCCACTGCCTTCTGACTGAACTGGTAGTGAGGATGGAGCAGTTGAATACAATTATCCCGCATGCAAACGTCCAGTCAGTTTCCTGCTTCCTACCAGCCAGAGCTCCTTGACAAGTCTGGGATTCCCATTCTGCTTCTTCAGTGTCCTCTCCTTCTCCCCATTCCTGGCCTCGCAGCGAGACGGGGTGCTCAGTGTGCACCTCTTGATTTTTAGAAAGCTAAGGTGGAGTGTCTGAGGGGAGAAATCATGTGACTTCACTCATGTGTATCTTAACATAGCAGAGTGAAAACAATTGACTTTAATACTCATTTTTGAAGACACACGGAGTTTTCTAACAATTTTTAGTAGCTCATCTGAGACATCCATTTTCTCCCTCAGCTTTTGCTAATTTAGACTCTAAGAGCCAAATGGAGCCCAAAGATTATGTGTGCCCTTCGGTTCTGGAACAATCGCCTACTTACCATTAAAACCATGCACTCTGTTCAGACTCAAATAGCAACAACTTTTTAAATGCTGTGTTAGCACATGTATTTGATCTTCAAAGCCTGTAAGGTAAGAATTACTTTTTCTCCCTTTACAGATGAAAGCTTAAGGAACGCTCCCCTCCCCTCCCCCGCTACTCCCATGGTTGCATGGCAATAAATGGTGGAGTGGGAACTCAGACCCAGGTCCTCTGATTCCAAATCCTGTGTTCTTCCTGCTGCATAACCCTGCCTCAACCCCTTATTCCCGCCCGCTAGGACTTATCACGGACTCTCACACTTGTTCCACATGGAGGCTGTTCAGTGAACAGAATTTCTGCCCTGCCCCTGCCCTGGTTTGCCCAAAATCATCCTTTGGTGTCCGAGGGGAAGCGGTACTTGCAACACATTTAAGAAAAAAGTGGTGATAGCTTCCAGATGAGCTTGTTATCCTCAATTTAACATTCCTTTTGGTACTTAGAATTTCCACTTTCTCCCTTCCACCCATTTGCATTTATGTAATTAGAAAGCATGCAGCAGGAAACCGTTCGTGTCTCAGAACCACTCAGGAGGAAGGCTGTTCCAGCCCCGTGGACTCCATCCTTGTGGAACTGCTTGGAGAGTTTATTTGGACAGGTTCAAAAATAGTCCTGCAACAATACAATCAGATTGCACCACAACAAGCAAAATGTAATTATGGCTTGGTTACATAAAAAAAAATGTAAGCAGTGAGGTTTGGAAAACTTAAAGCAAAACTACATAGATTTTATCCTCCATGCCCAATCTCTGCATTTCCTGCAAGTAGGACTTCAAGGCTGCATCCTTAGATCTTTCGAAATGGATGAGAGGATGACACTCACTAAAGGAGACAACTCGATTGAGTGTGTTCGGAGGCCGTTTCTCAGAACAAAGGCATCATTCTGCATAGGGAAAATGCAGCCCGTTAAAGGCTCCCCCGTGGGTACTGGGAATGCCAAAACCATTCACCTAAATGAGTTCAAAATACATATTGTTCTGGGCCAAATTATAGTGTCAACCTCAGACTATATGTATTTATGTATGTTGGCAGAGCAGGCCTCTTTTGGGGCGCCAGTTTTATCCTCATATCCTGTGCCCAGTTGGGTTGCCATCTCTCTCTCTTTCCCCCCTTTAAACCCATGAATTTCCTTGTATTTGGTTTCAGAAGGGCAGATAAGCAGCAAAGTCAAAGTTTCACAACCCCACAAGGGAACAGGGCCCCGGAGGACTTGAATTCCTAGCGAAACTTCGAACAGAACGTATGTTTTTGCCAACAAGCTGGAACTCTCTGAGGCTGACTTGCGACGGGGGCAGGGAGTGGGGACAAGATCGAGCATTGTGCTTCGGGTCAGTCTCTGCTAAGAGCTACAAGACAGGAATACAAAGTAGTCAGAATTAAAGCAAACAGCCAATGCTTCCTTTGTCTGGCCTCTGCCCAGAAACATTCCCTCACTGAGCTCACCAGTTTCTCAAAACACTTAAGTGGCATTTCAAAGATGCTGGGCAGAGGAATTCATCCAAATAAATGCCTAAAACCTAATAACTAATGACAGAGAAGTCTGATTCCAGTATCCGTTTCCACTCCAGTCTTCTGACATGTCTAGAGAACTAGTGGGAATACTGTTTTCTGGTGTTGACTTATGGGGTGGGGTTAGGGGAGAGGGACCTCTTATTCTCCTGCCTAAATAAAAATGGAAAAATTGGGACAAAATATTAACTTGTAAAGCAAATATGAAGAAGACAAGTGTAAAGGATGAAACAGGTTGCTGGGTTTTTTTCTTTTAATTACATGGGTTGTCTTGATCATGGAGTGAAGAGGGCAACATGAAAAACAGTGGAATGGCTATAGCAAGCCATGGCCATGACTTACAGTCCTAGGCTCAGCCCTGTCTCTAGGCTATAACAGATTCAAAGAAACAAAACAGCCCAGAAGGCAGAGGAGCTTGGACAGTTTGCAGGGCAGAGGACCACTGCTGAGCATACCTTTCCGGAAAGAAGAATAAAGAATGAGGGAGGGGAAAAAGAGGGGGTATTTCTACCCTGAATCTACTCATTACAACACTTACAAGAACTGTCTGATTGATGTTCCAGAACAGGGCTCAGACACCAGGTGCACCGGTGCCCAGCCTCACCTCTGCACCTTTCCCTGCCCCACTTGCTCTGGCTGCACGGCCCCACTTGGTTCCCAAGCTCTGCCAGCACTGCGCAGGACTCAAGCCTTCACCTAGCTCCTTTCCTTTCCTTGTCTGTCAGGAACACCCAGGTCAACTTCACATCTGAGTGCACGTTATTCCCACCTCTGCCAGGCCACCCTGAGGAGACTAAGTTGTTCCTTCTTTGTCTTCACTGCACTTTATCTACAACCTCCTCTTCCAATGTCACAAGAGTTTGTCTGTCTGTCCTTCCATTGAACTCTAAGCTCCCTGAAGGCAGGGGAGTGTGTCTTGTCTTTCTATCCACCTACATCTGCTGTCTACACAGTGCCAAATTCACAGTAGTTGCTCAGTCAACATTTACAGGACGAAGAAACAGGTGGGATCACCTCTGCCCATCTTAATACTATATAATAAAGAGCTAATATGCTAATTAGACCTGAACAGCCCAATGACCTTCAGGACGACCTTCCGAATTTCGTGCACTGGGCCTCTAGTTTTATTATAAAAAGAAATAGACATGAAAGACTGAGTTCTGGGGTTCTGCATATTTTCAGAAGAAATTGCTACGACTTGTGTCCAGCCTTCCTGTTTCAAGTGAAACCAAAGGAATAAACTCACAGAAGGCATTAGAAGTGGCCCCTTTGTCCTCAAAGTTCAGCTGCCGCCTGAAAGCAAAAGTCAAACCTCAAGGTGTCCTTCCAGCCAGTGGGTATGCCATGCCCTCTCCCAAACCTCAGGCCAAAGCACCCAGAGCTAAAAACCGCTCTGTCAAGCTCCACAAAGCTGCGGAAAACTGTGCCATCACTGTGAGCCTTCAGCACAGCAGGCTGCACACCCTGCTGATGCAGCCAGCCATCTGCCCTCAGCGAGCAGGCTCAGCTGAAAAGTGCTCTGCTGGGCCCATTGGTGAGAAGAACAGACAGATAGTAAAGAGCTGCTATCATGAGGCGAGGCTTCTCAAGACATTCGTCATCTTCACCAGACAACTCAGCGGCAACCTCCAACCTCGATTTATGAGGTGGAAGCAGTTCTAAAAACTACACATTAGGAATGCACCACGGCTGTGGTTTCAGGAAGGTTCTCAGAGAGCTGGGGACCAGGCGGGCACAGCTGTTGGCAGCTCAAGTATAATCTTCCTCATGCTCAGATACAAAGGCAAAGAAATGCAGGCAATGCACTAAGCTGCCTATTTTTGTTTAATTTATTTCTTTTAAGACCACCTCCTTGCAATTTTCAGAGAGAAAATACAAAACAAGAAACAGACTTGGTTTCAAATACATAAACAGTGTGCTGGAGTTTAAAGCGCTGCTGATAACATTGTTACAGAAGAATGTCAGCTTACTCCAGGGCACTTCAGTATTCCTGAGGAATAAACATGATTTTTCTTCTCCTCCCACTGAGATGTTCTCCGGTGTGAGTCACTGCTTCTGCTCCTGGAAAGTAAGGACACTCAGGTTAGAACTGTACAGACGGCACTGTGACAACTCCCTCTAATGTGCTGCTCCAGGAAAAATGGGCCTTAAAACCTTACCACCCGGTTTGCTTTAAAACCGTCTCAAGCTCTGGCTGGGTAGCTCAGGTGGTTAGAGCATAGTCCCAATTTGCCAAGATGGGGGTTCGATCCCTGGTCAGGGCACATACAAGGATCAACCAATGAATGCATAAATAAGTAGAACAACAAATCTCTCTGTCTCTCTCTTTCTCATCAACCACCACCACCATCACAAAACAACACTAACCAAACCAACCAACCAACCAAAAACTGTCTCACAAGGGGACTGTCTACATCCTGCCCACATTCTAAAGAAAGGCTTCCCAAACTTTTAAGGAAGGAGAAAGAGAAAGGAGCAGAATAGGGCTAAACAACTGGCACTTGAATAAGTATATTCCTAAACCCATCAAAGGAATAGATGATAGATCACAGATGAGTGGAAAAATCATGGGTCCAGAATCAAACAGCCTACTAATGATGGGATCTTTGGCAAGTTTCTTAACCTCAGTAAAATTCAGATTTCTCATCTTCTGAATGAGGATAATAACATCTTGCTCACAAATCTATTGGGGGAAGGGAGGTCTAGAGAAAGAAGACAGAGCACCTAGGATGACCCACAGGGCATAACTGGCACTCAAGAAGCAATTACCACAATATGACTACATTTGAAAAGCCCTAACTTGGGACTTTACTCCTTTTTAGAGAATGGAGGATGACAACATCGAGGCACAGATTCAAGTTCAGATAATGTTTCAAGGCCATTTTGGAGCAGTACACACAAGGCTGTAAAAAATGTAACAATATTTTCCACAGTAACTTCCATCCATTAAATATATAATATGCATATAATCACCCCTGAGCCATTATCCATGGCAACTCAGTTTGGAACATTTCAAACAATTAAAAGACCTGAAGCTCCTCTCCTGTTCTTTTTGTTCTCCCCCAAATTCAGCCGTGGTGCCAACAGAGTGGAGAGCTGGGAGAAGTGGAGACTGCCTGTCGTCAGCTCTGTGCCACACAGCTGCGCCTCTTCTTATGCTGTCCCTCTGATTACCTCACCCTGGCTCTGGTGCGGAGATGGTTCATTAATATGGAGAGTGGCGAAAGGCCTGCTACTTCCTAACTGGCCAACTCTCCCTGCTCCCAGTTCTCTCTCCAAACGCACATAGGATGGTTGGTAGGCAGCAACACTGTGGGTAGGTGCTATAGAGAAAGGCGATCAAGCTGTGGTTGGGTACTGTCATTTGAGATTTGGTGACAGCTTTTGACCAGAATTGGGACATTCATTTGATCCACATTTCTCTGCTCTACTTGTTATGATGATGAAACAATGGACAAGTCAACCAACCTTCCTTGGTTGCCCTCAACTACAATAACAAACATATCTACTTATATAATACCTCACAGCTTAAAACCATATTCACATTTAATTCTCACAGCAATCCTATAGGTAGAAAGCATTGCCCTCATTTTATAGATAGAAAAGAGACTCTCAGAAATGAGTAACTCAAGACCACATAGGAAGCAAGTGACAGACCAGGACTCACACGCAGATCTCCTGGTTCTGTGCTCTTTCCACTAGCCTCCTGAGGCTGCCCAGATCACAGTGATTCTAGTTCAAGGGTAACCAAGAAAGCAGATGGTTCTACATATCAAGGGAGTGTGAAGTTCTTCATTGAAGTTTGTACTGCTATAAAGGTTATGCCTTAGTAATAAGCCTGGGGCGATTAACACATATAACAGAATCCACCATTTACTTCATTCATTTTACAATTATTTGAGTGCCTACTTTGTTCCAGGTCCTGGAGATACAACAATAAATACAGCCCTCTGTCCTTGAGCATACAGCTTCCCATGATCCTTTCACTTACCCCCCCAGGTAACCAGCCCTCTAAATGATGAGAAATGCTGCCTCAGACAGTCTTCAGGGAATGTGCCAGCTTACTTAAGCCAATACTGAAAATGATTATTTTTGGAAAGAATCTTTTAAATCTTTTGGACTTTTTTAAAACGCCGCGAGACGCGGGATAAATTGTTAAAAATCGGGACTGTCCCGCCAAAAGTGGGACGTCTGGTCACCTTACTCTTGAGGAATGTGCTATATTTTTCATCTTGTTTGCATCATTAAAGATCCATCTGTAGGCAAGGACTTTGGCAGAATATGTGGGACATGCAGTCAAGAACCTGCTTTCTTCAATAAAAAGCAGAATAATGACTGAATCCCAGAAGTCTGCAAGTTTAGTTTGAGTATGTGTGAGATGTTTTCAGGGCACACTGAAATCTTAAACAAAAGTGCTACGTACAGATATTTAACACAAATCTACTTTACTATAATGATACACTTTCAGGCAGGTTTGTCAGTTCCAGTCAGCTAACATATAAGTATAGATCTGAATGCACATATGCATCTTAAGGTTGAGGGGAGGGGAGAGACTTGAGGAACCAAAGTGGTGTCAACATCACTAAAAGCTAAAGAGCAATTGGGATCTTAGTGGTACCACATGACATGCACACTTTATTCATTATATATACTATAAAAAATTCTTCGGGGACTGAGGAGAAAACATTTTTGTTGGAAAGAAAGAGAAATATCATATCAGTACATACTTTAACATATTTTCCATGTAGAAGGTATGGAGCCTGGAAATCATGCTGACAGTTGGAGAGGGCCATTCCCAATCCCATGCCAGAACCAAAGGCTATTGGCCACATTCTTCCTAGTGAGCAGAAAAAGGAAAATCCCAACAGGGAACCATTAGGAGCAGATTCAGCTTGTTTTCTGGCTCAAATACATTTACCTAGGACTCAGTAAATATTCAGCATGCATCACACAGATTTGTCAATGTTTCATCAGCAGTCAATAAAAGGAGGAGGGAAACTATTGGTAAACTTATTAATTTACCAAGTATTTATTAAGCAGTTATGCTGCCAGGTTTGAGGTATTAATAATGGTACATGTGCATGGTATATAACTGTACAATATAAAAAGAGTAGACATACTTGAACCTTTTAACTTCTCTTTATCAGTTCTAATCATTTAAACCATTTTTTTTAACCTTAACAGAAATATTTCAGTAAGGTGCTTGAATTTTTAAAATATCTAAGATTTTTAACATATATATATATATTTTTTTTTAATTTTTTTTTTACACAGCTTCCCCGCCTCCCCTATATATTTTTATTATAGTAAGTCTTAAGGCTTACTTAAGCCAATTACTGAAAATGATTATTTCATATCAGCAACATGTGTTACTTATGATTCTATAGTTATGTATTCCCACTGTTCTTCATGGAAAGATGTCAACAGCCAAACTTCAGCTCCTCTACAGAATGAAAGGGATATAGCCTATTCTTCACTTAGAATAATTTTTGGCCTACTTGTTTTTATCACTAGCACAACCCTCATTTTCAAGTTCCTTTCAAAAAAATTTATAATTAATTAGAAATATTTGAGCATGAAGATTTGGTCAAATGACTCACTGGCATAAAGCACATTTTAAAATGATATCATATTTTAGATATCAAGCACCCTGACTCAATGCCCCAGGGGAATGCTGGAGATGCTGAACCATTTTGACCTCTTCTGAGTCCACATTCTTTGTCTAGCTACCTAAACCCATAAATGGCTGGGCCGGCAGTCATGCAGATGTGCCTTCCAGAAGTGTTCCTGCTATGTGTATGTACACTAGGACATTATGCTAGAAAGACAGCAAAAGTCATACTTACTTTTAAAGAAGGTAAGTGAGAAAACAAGTCCTAATCCAAAACCAGTACCTGCAAAGAGGGGGAGAAACATTATATCTTGTTAATAATAATTCAACAAAAATAAAATGAACATTTCATAAATGTGAACATCTATAATGATTTTTTTCATAATTTGGTATAGAGTTGATTTTTCATTTCTAACCTTCTTGTTATCAGAGGCTTTTAGCCCACAACAGGGGCTAAAAACGTTATTCTCTGTTCTGTTTACAAACGTCTTGGGTGGTGAGAGAACAAGCCAGGAAACTGTTCCTGAGGAGAGGCTCTGCACTGCTTGGGAACGCCTTCCTACTCTCTTCTGCAGGGCGCCACAGCCAGAACATCAGAAATGATGATGTCAACTGGAAGCTCCTATCACTTCAACAGTTTGAGTGAAGATGGAAAGAAGTGATCCAGAATGATCCCCTCATTTTACTCATACGGCATTTTCAATCACTATCTTTCAAAATAAAAGAACACACACAAAAATTGATCTTAATGATTTGGTAGGAAAAAATCATAAATATCTATATTTTTTATTTTTAAAATATATTTTATTGATTTTTCACAGAGAGGAAGGGAGAGGGATAGAGCGCTAGAAACATCGATGAGAGAGATACATCAAATAGTTGCCTCCTGCACAACTCCCCACCGGGGATGTGCCTGCAACCAATGTACATGCCCCTGACAGGAATAGAACCTGGGACCCTTGAGTCCGCAGGCTGACGCTCTATGCACTGAGCCAAACCAGTTCTGGCAATATCTAATTTTAAATTAAACTTCTCAGGCATCTAAGCTTGAAAAAAAGGATCAAATCCTCATTTTTTACCAGTATTTCTCAAACGTTGGTCATTCTAATGCTACGGTTGCAATTTCTGCTACATCACACACCACCTGTATAATTATTTGCTTAATTGTTCTCTTTTGAAAAATTATCAATGCATGTATTTGATTAAATAACTTTAGCCTCAACTTAAGTAACAATATTCGTATAATTATAGATTTGAGAGCTAACGACATTTTTTCCATTAAGTGTGTTAAAATGAATATAGAACCATTAAAATAAAAATATTTGTCTGTGGTACCGCTTTAGGAAAAAAATCACCTCACATTCTACTGTAGTAATACATGTCCCAAATTTTGAGATAAACTTATATGTGCCAAGGAAGAGAACCAAAATCTGTTTTTTTCCCCCTTCAGATTTGACAGTTGTCTTCGCACCTTTCAGAGCATGCTGATGCTCTTTACTTTTGTTCCATGATACAATAGAGCACCTGACTACCATCTTTACAATTAACCATTTGTAGGCCATAAGTAAGCATCTACAGGCGCAAACGGTGGGCCTTTTTAAGTTAAATTCAAAATATCATGGCAGTTAACTGATTAAACACCACATAAAAGTTCCAATTCTCATTTGCCTAAATGGTTTTCAAATTTGAATGGTTTTCAAATTCCAAGAGCTTCCTCTCTGGCTAACCATGATTTTAGGCTACCACAATGTGAACATTCAAGTACTCCTCAGTCTACCAATCTGACCCTTTCTGCTCCAAACACAGAGAACTTAATCAGAGCAAACAGGCTAACCCACATCTTTTCCCCCCCCTTCAAATATGTTTTTATTGATTTCAGAGAGAGGAGAGGAAAGGAAAGGGAGAGAGAAACATCAGTGATCAGAGAGAATCATTGATCGGCTGCCTCTGAGGATTGAGCCTGCAACCAGAGTATGTACCTCAACTGGGAACTAAACAGTGACCTCCTGGTTCATGCGTTGATGCTCAACCACTAAGCCACAATGGCCAGCCCACACTGTGTGTGTGTGTGTGTGTGTGTGTGTGTGTGTGTGTGTGTGTGTTTTCAATCCACCTATGCAACAATCCAGTTGATGTTGGCTTGAAGAAAGTATTTATGCTATTACCCGGAATGATTTCTGATAATTCTCCCCTATCATATACATGTGGCCATGATGTATGTTCCTTTCCTATGACTATATCCTACACAAACATGAATTTTAATAAAAAATTATTACTTTGTCCTGTCCAAAAGACCTTGCATTAGGTAATGATTTGGTGCCCAACTTTAATATGCAATATTTAAAAATCACTCATTTCATCACAATTTCCATGTAATTTTAAAAAATGGTAAAAAAAAAAAAAAAAAAAGTCAGTTTACAGACCACAATGATTAACATACTCAAGACCGACATAATGAGAAAGGAAAGGAACTAACATTTTAGTATTTCCAATAAATACCCAACATGTTCTTCCTTTCAAAATATTATTAAACCAAACAACCTGATAAGGTATGACGCCCCATTTTCCAGACACTGAAGTAACTTGCTCAAGGACACTGTTTAGCTAGTGGTAGAGCAGAATTGGGCCCGAGTCTGCCAGACTCCAAAGCCACTATATCCTCTATATGTCCTGACACTGAATTCCCCTCCAACATTAACCCCTAAACAATCACTACCTCCCACGGGAAACTGGAGTATCAAGATTTCTACCGCCAGTGCGGTAAGATGCAGCCAAAAACAAATTGTGCTTCCTATGCAGCAGGCCAGAACACTAGGCAACCAGGGGAGTAACAAGTCTCCACAAGGCCAAATGGGCTTGTTCAGATTCATTCCCAGACTAATCCGACCGCACATGTCACAGACACAAATCTACCTGGTAGGCATGAGTCAAGAACTTCAGAGAAATGGGAGCTATCGCGATTGATACTCCTTGGCAAGAATCTGCTGTTGCTTGATTTATAAAATGGCACAGGGCTCAATTTCAAAATGGCTTGCCTCACCCCCTTGCAGCTGGAAGATGAGTAAGACAGTAAATTGGTACTAGAAAATGAGGTAAAGGATTTGGACTGGCTTACAGATTTCAAACCAGGCAATGGGATGGGGAGGTAGGCCAGTAAAAACATAATGGCTTACAATCAGAGCTTTTGGTCTTCTCCATCTGGAAGGCAATTTTTTGGCAGAGAAATCAAAAGCCCAAAAGGAAAATATTTCAGCATTTTTCTTGTCCTTCTGACTCCATGCCTGTCTCTCCTATTTTCCCCCCAAGGAAAAAAAGCTCTCTGATGCTCAATTTTCCTAGCAGTAAACCAAGAAAGATGCTAAGCCCACTGCTAACGTATCACTCAACCACAAAGATAAGAAATGCTTCAACATCAATCAGCATAGAGTAGAAAATCTTTAATCTCTAGACTTCATTTAAGTTAAGGTATATGCCCAACCACCTAGTTTTGCAAGTATAAGGTCAAAATCATAGCAGTCTGAAACAAATTTTGCTTCCTATGCAACAGGCCAGAACACTAGGCAAAGACAGGTTGTCCTCTATGATCTGTTAAATTGAGCTGCTATGACTTCAGTTCTTAGTGATTCTCCCCTCCATTTCTATATTTTTAAGACACAAAATAGCAAGACTATCCTCTTCAGAAAAAAAAATACAAAAAATGATTTTTAAATGCCAGTGTTTTACTTGAAGTTAACTATCTCAGTTATTTAAAGAGACAAACAATGGTGGAGCTGCTGATGAGTTTTACAGGTTCAAGTTCTCACATGCTCAATTTTCTTTAAAAGGCAACATGTTGCTTCAAAGAAAGTCCCACCTGATCAGGGGACACCAACTCTGCAGCTGTTTCCACTAAAGATTGGCACCTCTACACCAGGTTTAAACTTCATTAACAATAAAACATGAAAGGTTTGCTTACAATAAAAACAAACCAACATGGAAAAGAGAAGAGCTTTTTCTGCCTTTGGCCACTTTTTTTCTGTTGTTGCATGACAAGCTCCCTTACAGGAAAAAAGCCAAAGGAAAAAGTACAAAGCATTTTTCACCTTCCCTGGAAGCAAATATTTAACTATGAAAACAGTTTATATAACTCTGCCTCCCCCCACACAAGCCTGTTCTTTTGGTCCATGCTGTCTGGAATGACAAATAACCCTAAAGCAAAGAAATGCCTGGTTATAGGTACACATCTTTCTCATGGCACAGCCCAATTATGAGGGGAAGATGAAGGGGGATGGGGGCAAAAAAAAAAAACCAAAACAAAAAACCCCCACACACACCCCACAACAGAGGAGCCTTATGGAATTGACATTAGGCAAAGAGCCCATACTCTGAAACCATTTCTTTTGGAGAGGAAAAAGAATTGGCACAAATTCTTTCAAAAAGAAATTACTCCAAATCAATCTAACCCTGCACTTTAATCCATGCTTAGTGCCCAAAAGGACATCATAAAACTGGCTAGTAGATAAACACACATTTTTAGGAAGAAGCAACTCCCTAACAGTTCATCTGATACTATTTTAATAACAAAACAACAGAGAACTCACTCCCACTAACTACATATAAAACACTGCCTTATCTTATGCCCATGTGAATTCTGTAATAAATTAAAAAGAACTAACAGAGGTATGCCAAGTGTACACGTTAAGCCACATTTTGTGTAAGAAAGAAGGGGAAATACACGTTGATGGCTATTACTGTGACATATGGATAGTTTCCAGTTAGTCAATGAAACTTTATTTAGAAAAATCTTTGCCCTCACCATGCCACATGTCATAAAGCTTTACTTCACTGCAAATAATTAGGAACCAGACATAATCAACAAGAATTAACAAGCAGTCTACATATCCCAATTGCAGTCTTGAGTAGAAATGTAGTTTGGATGTTAGTCCCTCAACAAAACAAGCCAGAGCAACACATGCTACTGCCCTATCCACTTGGTAAAAGTTGCAATTGCCAATGGACTTTCAATTAGAGGGATAATTCACTGTTTGAAGAGGCGCAGAAAAAAAACAAATTCTCTCAGAAAACATTTCTCTACAATTTCAGAGGGCAGAAAAAAATCCGCAAGTCTACCTCATTTGTCTCTTTAGTATATGTTGTTTATGTGATAATTATGATCTCACTCCAGCTCACATTTAACACTTCAAACCAAACTCCTAAATTCTTATATGTAGTTATCAATGCTAAATTTGATCTGTAGCTTTAAATTAAAATAGCAAAGCAACACCATTTTAATTTGTACAATAA